TTTCAGGGGAGGCGGAGCCTGATTCCGGAGCGGGCCAATCACCGCCGGCCCCCGGGGCGGGGCCTGCGGAGGCTGCGTGACCGCGGTCCTGGGGGAACCCGGGCTGCGGAGACGGAGAGACAGGGGCTGAGCCGCTGCAGGAGGGTGGGTGGGGGTGGACGGGTCAGGCTCCCTTCTCCGGAGATGTTTATTGGGCTCCGCCTCCCCCACGGGCGCGGGCCGAGCTCAGGGCGACCGAGAGGAAGGCGGTTGCGTGGGGAGCCTCCAATTACAACGTTGACTCGGGGGCAGCCAGCCAGCACCCCGGCCCGCTGTTCCGCTGGGGGGTGCCCGTCCCTCTACTTCCGACCGCGCAGACACACACGCCCCCGCGCTGACCCCGGTGCCTGGGGAAACGCGTGTCCTGAAGCGCCACCCGATTCACCCTCCGCCCCGCGCCCCAGCGCTCCCTGCCACCTCCCCCCACCCCCAGCCCCCGGCTCTCCGCCCCTCGCTCGTTCACCGTTCTTGCGCAGCCCTCGCCACCTCCCGTCACGCGTGTTCTGGCGAGAATGCCCCGCTCACGTGGAGCGTGTCCCCGCTGGGGCCAGACCTCCGTCATCTCTCTGCCCCGCTGGCTCAGCGCAGACCCCCGCCTGGGCACGCGCGGCCTTCCGTAAATATTTGTGGAGCAAAGAAATGGACCTTAATGAGACCCGCCCCGACGGGCGGGGCGGGGGGGGGGGTTACTCAGAGATGCGGGGGGCTGAGGAGTAACGCTCTGTCCATATTCACTGTCCATATTCACCTGCGCTCCTTGGCAGAGTCCTGCAGTCTGGCCGCCCCCCCCGCCCAGTCCTGCGTCTGGGCCGCTGGGGGTCATGCGTGCTGTGCCGTGTTTGTACTTCTCAGCAGGAGCCCTTCGAGGCCCGTGACCTGTGCAGCACGCTGGTGCCCCCTGGCCCCCCGCCCCGTGTCCACAGGTGATGGCCGGACCGGTGGGATGGTGCCCGGGCCCTGTCGTGGGGCTGTTTGAGGACAGTGCGCGGAGGGGCGCGGAGAGCCGTCAGGTCTGCTGCCGCCTGCGGCTGCGCACCGTCGTGACCTTGGGGCGGCGGAGCGGCTGGTGCGGCTCTGGGGGTCCTGTCAGAGACTCCTGGGATGATGGGGGAAGACTCTCACTGTCTGTGTTCTTCAGGTCGGGGAAGGATGCAGGGAAGATACTCGTGTGTGTATCTTCATATGTTATACATGTATACACGGCTCCGTTTGTCTTTTATCTTTAGTGAAAACGGTTCGGTCGTCAGGTCAGGGTAGAGGTGTGTAGCAGGCGTGTGTAACTAGGGACTCGTGAGAGACAACGGTGTGTCTGCTGAGCCGCCACCGTCGTGAGTCAGCCGCCACCCTGCACACCCGGGGCGGGGGGGGCGGGCGGACCAGACCCGTGGTGCACGGCGCGGCCCCTGCCATCCGCTCAGGGAGCCCACAAGCCACTCGGGCCCCGAGGTTCGCTCCCGCCCTGCCGAGGCAGCCCTGCCCTCACGGCCGCTGTTTCTTATGGTGACAGGCTCCATCACAGCGAGTCTCGTGTGTGTGTGTCTGTGTGTGTGTCTCACACACACGTCTTCAATCTGCATTCTCCTTTACCTCTCTGTCTTCTAAATTTTGCTTTTTCCCTAATTACAATCTCCCCCCTCCGACCTCCTCTCAGGTCATCTGTGAGCCAAAAAAAGATTCTGATCATGTCACAGTGTCACCGTGTAGACGAAGAAGGAAACTCACGCGCTGTGACACTGAACTGGTCCCAGTGAAGAGCCAGTGTGAATCTCTGCACGCACAGCCTAAGGAAGGGACCGACGACCGGGGCAGGGGGATTATCTCCCACTTTCCGCTGTTTGTAAGGGACCATGTTGGTTAAAATCAACCCATTTCCACGTTTCAGCATGGAGACCATGCGGAATGTTCGCACAGACACTGACACCGTCCTTCCTGGGGGGGGTGTTCCGAGCGCAGGGGGGCGTCTGCCCCAGCCTCTCCCGCTGGCAGCAGCTCTGACTTGGGGGCCGGACTGCCTTGCCCACCCCGGGTCGACTGAGGGGAGCAGTTCTCATGCCCTGTGGCAAGGCCTCGGGTCTTACTTTTTAAAGGAAGGAAAGGACCTCAGTTCAGGTTTGCAGTTTCCAGCCAGCACTTTTTGTCATTAAAAAACAAAAACAAAAAAACCCGCAGCGAGATGACCGAGGAAGTGTCTACCTCAAGTTCACAGGCAGCGGCAGTACTTTTCAAAACAGTCTGTGTCCGAGCACAATGGGCCTGGCAGTTGTTTACACACGCGAGGTGTTCGTCAGTGTGAAAGAGCTGTTTGTTTCCGCTCCCGCTTCCTCTGACGCGGGGGAAAAACATGCGGCCCCCCCGCAAGCCGTGCTCCGCCGCGTCGAGTGTCAGAGTCTCTGCGAAGCGCGTTCAGGATCGGGGGCAGAGGCTCGGAGCCGCGGCGGCTTCGCGGGGCCGTGGCGCCCGGGGCTCTCGTGGGTCGCCGCAGTGTCTGCTGCCAGCCCGCCCCTCCCTCAGGCACCAGGCCGCCCCTCCCCTCGCCCGGCCCGTGAAGGGGAGGACAGAGCGGCACCTCCGATGCAGTGCACAACGGCTTTCCCAGCCCGGGTCCCAGGGCCACAGCAGCCCCCCACGAGACGAGACGAAACCCTCCTCCTCTGCCCTGACACTGACCTCGCCAGAAACCGGGGCTTCCTCTCCGTCCTGACACGGTTTCTGGAAAGCTGGGAGTGCGCTCGCTCTCCCCTCTCCCCCTCTGCCCCGCTCCTCTCCTCCCCTCCCCCACCCCCTCATTTTCAGTATTGGTCAGAGGGAGGAAATAGGGAAACACAAATACATAAATAAACATCTCTAAAGGAAAGGAAGCATGGGAAACGAAAACCACAGAGGGGTGTTTTTTCTTTCTGCGACGGCCCGGCCGTAGGTGTGCGAGTGGGCGGCCGGCCCTTTCATCCCGGCTTATCTGCCCTGCCCGAGGTGCTGTGCCCTCCCGAGTGAGATGAGCACCGTCTGTTGTCACAGGTGGCAAAGCACAGAGGACGAAAACAAGCCGAGAGCCAGCGCGCAATCGCCCTAAGTGGGGTCCTGTTTGCTCTTCTGCGTCTGTTCCCGAACCAGAAGCCCATAAACCGAGTGAAAATACCAGCTCTCAGGTGCACGGCACCCAGATGGGCCGGGGAGCAGGTGCTGAGCCGAGGAAAAGATGAACATGAAGTCATCCTCGGGGATACTCAGCTGGGTAGCTGATGCAGGAATTCAGAAATAAGCCCTGTGCCACTGTTCAAATATTTACTGACTCGGCCTGGGAAGGAGAAAAGTGTGGGTCACGTAATGTAGATTTCCTCGTCCTTTTCCTTCTTCAAACAGAGTCTCACAGATCCCGGAGAAGGGGCAGTTTATCTAAGAAAGAAATATGAGCCCTGCCCCTGGCATTTCAGGTAGACCTCACGGGGCCTCGCTAAGCAAATACAATTTAGCGGTCTGGCATTTGGCAAAACATGCTTTTGTGTTTCCAGGCTGTTTATCTTCAGAGATGAGGTAGCAGCCCCTCAGACTGACTGGGGTGTTGACTCGAATGGAGGGTGTTTCTCCCTCCCTGCCCGCGGCCACCGGCCCTGCGCCGGCGCGGTCAGGCGGGGTGAGCAGCGGCCCGGGAGGCGGGTCCGTCTCCCAACACTCGCACCTGCCTGGTGCGCGCTGCCTGCAGGTTTAACGTTGCTGCTCCGCGCGCCGCCGCGGAGTGCCGGAAGATTTAAGACAGCGGGGAGCCTCCCGCAGGGTCACCCAGAGCTGGGGCAGAGCTGGGGGAGAGGTCGCTAACGAGTTTTGTAGGACAGGGCGGGCCTGCCTGGCAGGTTTTTGTGTCTTCTGGTCTTTGATCTGGAGCGACCCCTCTGGTCCCCGCGAACGCCACGCTGAGAGCGCTCATTCATCCGGGCCCGGGCTCCGCTAATAACCCAGTCCTTTCCTCTCGGAGGCCGCGGCGTTAATGAGAAACGCAGATTAGGAGCGGAGACCTATTCTGAGGCTCAGATAAGGCGCCCTCACCAACGGCTCCCCGCGGCGGGGAAGGCTGCTGGTAATCCGCTCCTCCGGGGCACAGCGGTGAGCGAGGCGGCCCGACCGCGACCGCTCCTCCAAGTCCCCGTCCCCGGCGGCTCCGCACAGTCACCTCCTGCTGCCCGGGAGCGGCGCGGCCCAGCGCGGGAGTCAGAGCCCCCAGGGACCCTGCTTCAGGGCAGGCCCCGCCCGCCACAGGGGGCTCCGCGGCGGACCCGAGAGCCTGACCGCCCATCCCCGCACCGGTGCGGCGCCCCGGCCCTGCGCCCCGGCCCACGTGGGCCCCTGCAGAGCCAGCGCTGGCCCCGGAGGGGCCGCGGAGCCGAACTCCGCCCAGACACTCGGGGAAACTCACCCCTTCAGGAACGCCAGCCCCGTGGGGGGGAGCCCTGGGGTTCTGCGAAACTTGAGCCCTGCTTTATTTAATTTCCTCTGTGCACCGAGAGCCGCGGTCCGTTTCAGTAAATAAATTCAGGAAATCGGTAAAGCCCTTCCCTCCGTCGTTGTGTATCCGTAATTAACATGATTGTCCCCTTTTTCCTGGCCCCGGGCAGCTGCTCTCCGCCCCCCGCCAGCCCGGGCTGCAGCCGGTCCCAGGTCCCCGGCAGCAGTGGCTCTCGTGGGCGCGCGGAGCCCAGCCGCCGGGACACAACAGCCCGCCCGTCCCCTCTGCCCGGCCCTGGGAGGTTCCCCACCGGGGGCGGTTCCCCACCGGGGGCTCGCTCTCCGTCCGCTCCGGCCCTTCCACGCGGCGCCTCTCCCGTCCCGCCGCGCCAGCTTCCCGCCCCCATTCACCGCGAGGCGTCCACGACCTCCCGCCCCTGCCGTCGCCCCCTCCGGGCGTGGGAACGGGGCCGCGGCAGCGGCGGCACCGGGAGCGCGCCGGGCGGACCGGCGCGCCCTCCTACCTTCAGGAGCCACTGGGTGTTGTTCTCCAGGACGCTCTCCAGCGCCTGCAGCCTCTGCACCGAGTCGTCGTCGTAGTCGAGCGGCGCGTCCCGCTGCACGGCGTTGGACACGTAGGGGCTGGCGGCCGGGCGGCAGTTGTCCGACTCGGGCAGCAGGAAGGTGTAGCTGCAGGCGCCGTGCTGGACCTGGTACTGCCGCCGCCCGACGCCGTCCATGCTCCTCCGAAAGTTGCTGTGCGCGGCCGCCAGGGCCAGGTCCCAGCCCAGCGCAAAGAAAACCACCCGCCACATTCTTTCCTCGTCTGGGGGACGGACGGGCCGGCGCTCAGCAGGCTCCCGGGCGCATGGGAGCCGGTCCCGGGCGGCGCTCCCAGGCAGGCGCGGGGGGCTCGGCTGCCGGCTCAGTCAGGGTCCGCGTGCGGGAGCCCGGTCCCCGCGTCCGCCGGCGGCGGCAGGCTTTCCCGTGCTGGTCCTGCCGCGAGCGCCGGTCCTGCCGCTCGAGCTGTCAGACCTCCAGGGCAGTGGGACCCGCTCGCCGGGCCAGGTCGGGCTGGGCTGCGCTCGCCTGCAGGTCCCTGCGGACGCTGCTTTGTTCCTCCGCCCCCCGAGGCTGCCTGCCGGGGTCCGAATCGATCCCTCGCCGCCCCTTATATGATAAGTTGATCAGGGCAGCCAGACATGTGCGGCCAGCTGCTCCGCCCTCCTGGCTCGGCCGTTATCTTCCTGTGGGGGGTCGGCAGCCAGGCAACAGGAAAAACCCCGGCCCCGCGCGAGCCTCCAGCCCTCGGGGGGGGGGGGAGGCGGCTCCCAGGCCCCCCCCCACCTCGAAGGCACACCCCCGGGCTGGGTGTTTCCTCGAGAGCCCCGGGCGCTGCCCTCCACGCAGCCGCCCGGGGCTGAGCAATAACTTGAAAGCACAGTGACGGTTCCTGTTTTTTCCTTGAGGAATAGAAATGCTGCAAGTATGTCAGGACTGCGGTTTATTTTCGTTGCTGCACACAGAGAGGAAGGAGCCTTGCTCCCGTGAACTCTGCCTTGGCGGGGGGGGGGGGTGGGCGGGGGGGCGCTCAGGGTGCTCCTGGGTCTCTGGACTGTCAGCTCCGGAGACGAGGTTTTCGTGTTCACAGAGTTTGACGGGAAAATCGAGACTCACGAAGCCACGTTAGGCAGGTCGGCGGCCGAGCTGCGACACCCGATCTCTGCGACAGAAGGCCCCCTCCGCACTCCCGCAGTCGGGCGAGCCTGAAGCGGACGGATGAAGGCTGCGTGGACGCGCAGCGGGTGGGGCGTCTTCGGGGTTGAATGCTGGGGTGTCGAGAGAGGAGCAGAAGCTCCACCGGGCCAGGGCTTGCTCCCGTCCTCTCGTTTTGTGGCGTGTTCTCCGGGGTCAGTTACACCCACCCGTCCAACTTGAACTCAGACACCTCCCCTCCCGGTTTTGATTGACTAAGTGCCGGTGTCCTGGTCTGTAAAAGTCCGGAGCCGTCCACTGGCCGGGCTCCTCTGCTTCGGCTCTGCGGCTCGGCCCGTGCCCCGGTCGCTGCCTCGGCAAGCAGACCTCAGACCCTGAGAGCCGGGCAGTCTGCTGGCCGCCCGGCCGGAGCGCGCCTCGGACAGGCGTGCCCCGTGGCGTCTCAGCGCGCGGGCAAGCTCCTCCCCCGCAGCGGTCGCCATCGGCGGGACCGGTGTCCGTCTGTGCCATGCGAGGTCAGCAGCCTCCGGGTGTGCTGTGTGACAGGGGGCCACGTCCTGAACCCGCCACCCTCGGGGGTGGGGGGCGGTCCTGCGCGGTGGGCACGCAGACCCAGACCCCGAGCGGGAGCGCACCGCCGGTCGGAGCAGACCCCTCGGGGAAGTGGGTCCCGGCGGCAGCCTGTGCGCAGGCCAGGCCCCGCCCTGAGCCCCTCTGCCGTCCTTCTGCATCCGAGGTGGTGCACCTCTGAGAGGTCCAGGCGACCTGCTTTCCGGACAACACCGGGCAGCCCGCCCGGCGCAGGGCAGCCCAGTCTCGTGGTCCCCCCCCACTCCCGAACTCCACCCCTGTGCTCTGCAGGCACTAACTGCTGACCCTGCAGTGCCCTCGGCGTGACAGGAGTGTCTGTCTGTCCTCCTCACTTGTCTCCCCATCCCGGAGGGGCCCACTTCGCTGTCTCCCCCCCCCGATGGACCGACCACCCCTGGATTTCGTGCCCCCCCCTTACTTCCTCTGTCGACGCTAGCGCATGACATAAGCTGCCAACCCTGGCTGGTGTGGCTCAGTAGGTTGGCCAGCGTCTCGTGAACTTGAAAGGTTGCTGGTTCAAGTCCTGGTCGGGGCACCTGCCTGCGTTGCGGGCTTGGTTCCCGGCACATGCAGGGTTGGGGGGGCGGGGAGCGGGAGTGTAAGAGGCAGCCAATCGGTGCTTCTCTCCCTCTCTCTCGCCCTCCCTTCCCCTCGCTCTAAAAACAAATAAGTAAATGAACATTTTTAAGAGCCAAGCTGCAGCCCTGCTGTCCTCCACGCAGCCTCCGTGCCCACCGAGACCCTGCGTCCCAGCGTTGCCGTCGGTCTGACGCGAGCTCCTGAAGGTTCCGTGCGGGCTCGGCCTCTCACGCCGACGGGGGGGGGCGGGGAGGGGGGGCACCGAACGGCGGCTCGCCTCTTGGGTGAGCATGGAAACTGTGTAGTGAGTTCCGTTCCCTGGGGTGAGTTCCGGAGAGATGCAGTCTGACCTGTGAAATACCGCCTCTCCTTGAACCGGAAAGGGTCACAGCGGTGGCCTGTGCCGGTGGTTTTCTCCGCGCCGGGCATCGTGGGTGATTTCCTGGGGATCCCCCGAGCTCTCACGTGCACTCAGCACCGCGCTGCCGCCAGACCCGTCCCCGGACAGACCTCGAGATTCCAGCTCCCAATAAAGCAGCGCCTGCCGCTCTCGGCAAGAGGCCTGTGCCGGCTGGCGCCGTGCTCTGGAGGGTCCCAGAACGGGGTGGGGGGTACGGGGTGAGTCCCCCCGGGGGCTGGAGCAGTGCATGGTTCGCCCAGGCTGAGGACAGGGTGCCCGTCCGACGGCAGAGGGAGGCCCGCGGGTGTGGGGCCTGTCCGAGCCCTGCCCCCGGGGGTCTGACGCAGCGTGCGGCCCCTCTGAGCCTCGGGCCCCTGCCCGGGAGGCCGTGCCTGCCCTGCAGCGCCTTCCGGATCCAGGCGACCGGAAACAGTGGCTGTGACCTGGGAGCCTCGCTCTCCCGTCTCCACCGGGTTCTCTTGAGAATGAGGCTCGGTTCCTGCACCGCCAGGTCCCGCAGCCGCGGTCCCCTCCGACGGGGAGACGGAGCTCGGGCGCGCACTTCTCCTCCCAGTCTGTGTCCCACTGGGAAGAACCTGTTGCAGGGCGTCGGTGGTGCAGTCACCGTTTGAGAAGTCACTCCGCTGCCCCACGGGGACTTCCAGTGCCCCGGGTCCATGCCGGCCACTCGCAGGCCCTGGGGGTGGGGGTGGGGGTGAGCTGGGGCCCAGGGAAGGTGGCTCCTGGGCTGCCCCCAAGAAGGACAGTGGGCACCCTGTGCACGGCGCTGCCCCTGCCGCCCCCGCGGCTTCTGGGCCGAATGTGCCGTGAGCAGCTCTCCCTAGGTCCCTGCGTGGCGGTCATTAGTGGTGAGTCCAGTCCCGGGAAGCTCTGGGTGGGTGGGGCCAGCCGTCACCCCCGGGCCCTGCTCTAGCCCCTCCTGCTGCTGCAAGTTCTCCCGGGGGGCTCGCCCGCCCCCGGCTGCGGTGGCAGAGTGTCCCTGAGGGCCCCGAAAAGACCAGGCGTCCACCCTCCCCGAGAAAGGCTGTTTCCCGCTGGAACCTGGACAAAGGCCCTCGGCCTCGGCTCGCCCTGCGGAGCCCAAGGCCATCCTGGGCTCCCCGACCCGACCTGACCCGACCCTCCGGGCACGTGGGTCCGAGTAGGTGCAGACCCCTTTTACCTGGATCAGCAGCCTGACCGACCACCGTCGCCGGAGGCCGGTCCCTGGAGCAGCCGGGCAGCTCTCAGACACCTGCCAGCCGGAACAGCGTCTCAGGGAGTCGGCGACCCGCAGATGCCGCCGTCAAACCGGCGTCCAGCCCGGCGGCCAGACTACTTCAGGGCCCCCATGGCCGCGACTGCAGGAACCACGTGCCTGCCCTCCTCAGGTCCCCCTCCCCGCCTGCCGGCCTCAGGCGTGGGGCCCAGGGTGGGCCCGCACGGCCAGGGTGGCCTGGATTTTGGGAAGATGGTGCGTCGGCCAGGGAAGAGCTCTGAGCCCTGAAACGCCCGTCCGGAGAAGCGCAGCTGGGGCCGTGGCGTCGTCGTTGATGTGTGGCTCTTGGCCGACAGCCCTGCACGCTCAGAGCTCCGGGCGGGGGTGGGGGGGCAAGCAGGGGCCTCAGAGACACCTCGGTCCCCTCCCGCCCGCCCGGGCCGTTTCAGACTTGGCTCCGTGAGCCCCGTCGACACGCCCACGTGCGAGCTGGCGTGCAGAGTGAGGGAGAGCCGTCAGAAGGTCCCCTGGACGTGAAACCGTTAGAAAGTTACTTGTGCGGCCCCCGTCCCCCCAGAATTGTGTGCAGTAGCGAATGAGAGCGGAAGAAGGCAGCACAACTGGCCAGAAAGGAAAGAAAGAAAAAGCTCGGCCTTCCACAGGCAGGCTCCCGGCCCGCCCGGCACCTCCCTCACCGCCTTCTGCGCGGGTCTCCGGCTCCGCCGAGTGTCCAGAGGTGGGGAAGGGGGGGCGGGGGGGGCTGAGCCCGAGCACCCACCGGCAGGCTGGTCTGTGGGAGCTGGGGTGTCGCCGCTCTCCGGCTCCGGCGCTGCCGCTCGCGACCCTGGCAGCCTGGAGAGAGAATTCCCAGCCCTGGGATTTGGGAAAAGCACCAAAGGAAAAGCCCCTTACAGTTACCGTAAGGACAGAAAAAAGTGTCAGTGTTCACACACACACACACACACACACACACACACACAATGGCCGGCCCTGCTGCAGGTGCGGGGTGGAGGTTCGGGAGAGGATGGCCGCATGCGTGCGGGTCTGAGCCCGGCTCGGACCTCCCTGCTGGCGGACCTAAGGCAGCGGCTGCACCGGCTTTAACGAGGGAACAGGCAGCCTTCCTCGGGGAGGAGGAGGTCCCTCTCAGGCCGGCCGCCCCCTCTCTGCCGCACCAACACTCGTCCCCGGAGACAGAGTCCTTGTACTGACGGAGACTCCCTGGGTCGTCCCAAACCAGCCGGTCACCGGGGAGCCCGCCGCGAGCTGCTCCAGCGTCCTTGCCCCGTGGCATCCGGACGGGCAAAGGCCCCTCCGGGGCACCGGGGGTGCGACCAGACGGCGGTCTTCCTCATGGGCCCCGGAGGGCCCGGGAGATCCGGGCGGGTGTCAGGTGCACCTGCCGCGCCTCACCCGCCCGTCAGAGCTGCGCCCTCGGTTCTCTGGCGCGGCCCCGTGTCCCCCTTCCGCTGCCTCTGTGAGGGCCAGCCAGGGGAGGCCGCCGGCAGACTGGGCTGCACGGTTCAGCGTGGAAGCTGTTCCTGAAGGAATGGGGGGGTGCCTCGCGCAGCCGCCTGCTGTCCGTGTCGCAGTAGAGCACGTGCGGCCCTCGACCCCCGCCGTGCTGAGAGAGCACACCCGCGCCCACCCGGCCTGGGGCCCCGGCCCCATTCTGTCGGGACGGGGCCTGCCCGCCGGGGAGGGAGAGCACGCCCTGCGCCAGAGGCGTCCTCAGGCCGTTTCCTTTCCTGGGGAACAGCCACTCCCCGCGTTTCCAGGCGT